AAAACAGCATGGTACTGGTATAGAAACAGATGGATAGACCAATGGAACAGAATTGAAACACCAGAAATCAACCCAAACATCTACAGCCAACTTATATTTGATCAAGGATCTAAAACCAATTCCTGGAGCAAGGACAGTCTATTCAATAAATGGTGCTGGGAAAACTGGATTTCCACGTGCAGTAGCATGAAGCAAGACCCCTACCTTTCACCTTACACAAAAATCCACTCAACATGGATTAAAGACCTAAATCTACGACCTGATACCATCAAGCTACTAGAGAACATTGGAGAAACCCTTCAAGATATTGGCACAGGCAAAGAGTTTCTGGAAAAGACCCGGGAGGCACAGGCAGTCAAAGCCAAAATTAACTATTGGGATTGCATCAAATTGAGAAGTTTTTACACTGCAAAAGAAACAGTCAGGAAAGCAAAGAGGCAACCGACAGAATGGGAAAAAATAGTTGCAAACTATGCAACAGATAAAGGGTTAATAACCAGAATCTACAAAGAGATCAAGAAACTCCACAAAAACAAAACCAACAACCCAATTAAGAGATGGGCCAAGGACCTCAATAGACATTTTTCAAAAGAGGAAATCCAAATGGCCAACAGGCACATGAAAAAATGTTCAAGGTCATTAGCAATCAGGGAAATGCAAATCAAAACCACAATGAGGTTTCACCTCACCCCAGTTAGAATGGCTCACATTCAGAAATCTACCAACAATAGATGCTGGCGAGGATGTGGGGAAAAAGGGACACTAACCCACTGTTGGTGGGAATGCAAACTGGTCAAGCCACTATGGAAGTCAATCTGGAGATTCCTCAGAAACCTGAAAATAACCCTACCATTCGACCCAGCCATCCCACTCCTTGGAATCTACCCAAAGGAATTTAAATTGGCAAACAAAAAAGCGGTCTGCAGCCTAATGTTTATTGCAGCTCAATCCACAATAGCTAAGACCTGGAACCGACCTAAATGCCCATCAACGGTAGACTGGCTAAAGAAATTATGGGATATGTACTCTTTAGAATACTATACCGCAGTAAGAAACAACGAAATCCAGTCATTTGCAACAAAATGGAGGAATCTGGAACACATCATGCTGAGTGAAATAAGCCAGTCCCAAAGGGACAAATACCATATGTTCTCCCTGATCGGTGACAACTGACTGAACACCAAAAAGGAAACCTGTTGAAGTGAAATGGACACTATGGGAAACGGTGACTTGATCAGCATAGCCCTGACTGTTAATGAACAACTTAATACATTATCCCTCTTAGTAGTTTTTTTTTTTGTCTGTTCTACTTAATATGACTGGTTTAATTCTGTAATTAATACACAGTTATTCTTAAGTGTTAAAAATTAACTGAAATGTGATCCCTGTTAAACATAAGAGTGGGAATAAGAGAGGGAAGAGATGTATAATTTGGGACATGCTCAAGCTGACTTGCCCCAAATGGTAGAGTTAAAAACACACCAGGGGGTTCCAATTCAATCCCATCAAGGTGGCATGTACCAATGCCATCTCACTAGTCCAAGTGATCAATTTCAGTTCACAATTGATCATAATGAAAGGACTAAGAGTCAAAGGGAGCACATAAACAAGTCTAGTACCTGCTAACACTAACCGATGGAATAAATAAAGGGGAGAGTGATCCAACATGGGAAGTGAGATACTCAGCAGACTCATAGAATGGCAGATGTCCTAAATAGCACTCTGGCCTCAGAATCAGCCCTAAAGGCATTCGGATCTGGCTGAAAAGCCCATGAGAGTATTTCAGGCATGGAAAGCCAAGACACTCTGGCAAAAGATCTCTGCGAGTGAGATCCCAGTGGAAAGAACAGGTCTTCAAAGAAGGAGGTACCTTTCTCTGAAGGGAGGGGAGAACCTCCACTTTGACTATGACCTTGTCTAAACAAGATAAGAATCGGAGAACTCAGAGGGCTTCCATAGCCTTGGAAACTCATGACTGGAGCATAGGGAGACTACTGATGCCATAGACAGGAGTGTCAATTGGTAAAGTCAACAACAGGAATCACTGTGCACTTACTCCTCATGTAGGATCTCTGTCCTTAATGTGCTGTGTATTGAGATTTAATGCTATAACGAGTACTCAAACAATATATTTCACTTTGTGTTTTTATGGGGGTGCAAACTGTTGAAATCTTTACTTAATGCATACTAAACTGATCCTCTGTAAAAAAAAAAAAAAAGAAATTATCAACTCCCAACTTGACTCTCACTGGGATTAAACATGACAATAGGTCTGATATGATTTCATCATCATTTTAAAAAAATCATCTATTATTTTTCACTTTATGTTTCTGTGTGGGAGCAAACTGTTGAAATCCTTACGTAATGTATACTAAGCTGATCTTCTGTATATTAAGATAATCGAAAATGAATCTTGATGTGAATGGAAGGGGAGAGGGAGTGGGAAAGGGGAGGGTAGTGGGTGGGAGGGACGTTATGGGGGGGAAGCCATTGTAATCCATAAGCCGTACTTTGGAAATTTATATTCATTAAATAAAAGTTAAAAAAAAAGAAGTACAATAAGGTGAGAAAAAGAAATAATAGAAAGGAAAAAATAAATCTGTTAATCCTCACAAACAAACAAACAAAAAAGTGGATCCAGGGGAGCCAGGACCGAGTTGCCAAGTGGCCTTTCTTTTTTGGAATTAGTTACCAACTCTGTCACCTATGAGCTGTGTGAGCTTGGGAAACCTATTTTATTTCTCTGAGTCTCAACTTCTTCAGTTACAAAATAAGAAAAATTTTTCGGTGAATTAAATGATTTTCATAAATGATATAATGCATGTGAAGCATCTAGCACAATGTCTAGCACAAAAATGCTTTATATCAACGGCAGTTACTACCATTTCATACAGAATTGTATGTGTCTCTTTAATGAATGTTGGGTTGCTTTCCCACATAATGTTAATGATATTTCTTTCATTATAGGACACACAGCTATTCTCCCGATCTCCAGACTTCTCCACTATTATCTGAAATGGCTGATGGCCATGAACTTATTCTAGACCCCTCTGCTTATGTACTGTCACCCTCTGCCTGTGGGTCCCATAAGCTTGTGGCTCTTGATGCTATGTTATCGAAAAAAGATTCTGATTGGCTGCTCCCTCTCCCTTCCTTCTTCCCCTTCCCAAACCCCTGATGTCTTATTTTGCTCCCAAATAAGAGGATTCCCTGAGTTTACACTGCTGGAGGCAGTGGGGGAGGTGTTGAATCAGCTCACACTTAAATCTCAAGATAAAAATGCCTTTAGAGATGCTCTCTACTCTCAAGAAGTTTGTTAATAAATGATCTACAAAAGCGCTACCTTGTAGTATTTTTAACATGCCACATGAAATGATTTTTTGTTGAAGTTATGACATCACTAATTCACCAATATTTTATATGGCAGGCATATTCTGAAAATATGTAAGACTTTGCTATGGAAAAAAATTAGAAGTAAACTTTGTAGTGACTTATTTCTGAATAAAGTTTTTAAACATTTGACTAATTCATTAAGTATTAGAGAGTTTAACTTGGACATTTGTATTTCCTTTTGTAATCACAGTCATTTACTCCTTGCTGAAATAACCCTTTTAGTTAAACAAGTAGGTTAGAAAATTAGATTAGAATAGTCCCTTCCTAGTTTTTCTGCTCTTGCTCTGAAGTGGGAAATTTTGCTTGATTGTTGATGCTTCTACCAGTTTTAAGAGTAGTCTGAATAATAATAATGAATTGTGTACATCTCAGTAGAAAACTGAGTTTATAAGTTAGAAGAATGTTTTGTAAATGAAAAAACTTTTAAACTGTGGTATGTTATGTTTAATCATTTGTGCATTGCAGAAAATAATTTAAATGCAAAAAAATGCTTGTGTTAAATGATTTCTGATGATACTGTTGACTGAAGGTCTATCATAGGCTTATATTATTCCTTTGGTGGAGAATGGCCTCTCCTATTCGCTTTTGTGTATTCAAATCCCACTCATCATCTAAGACCCAGCTCAATTATTTCCAGTACATAACTTCTCTTGAACACCAAGCCAAGAACTAATTTCTTTCCACTTGAAGCCCCTAAATTATGCTTTTATTTTTTGCACCACTCACATAGTACTTTCCACATTCTCTCTCAGCCTATGGTGATTTTTGGAAGTACTTTTTATTTCTTTACTAAGCCCAAGATCCTGGAGGGAAAGAAGTAAGTTGTCTCAATTATTTTCCCTCACATGGTATCTCGCACAACAGCAAGAGCTCAATATCCACTTGTCACAATGAATAAGTGGAAACGAATTTTAACAGGCAATTAGATGTAGCCTTAGAGATGTCATGGAAAGGATGTGGAGCAGAAGAAAAAAGCATTCTGAAAGGAAACTACTACTTCCATGGGAAGCAAGCCAGATTGGGAAAAGCAAATAGTCTTTGACTGATGGCATCTTAGGCTCTTTCCAGCTCTTTGGCCCATGAATCTGCAAGAAGGCACTGAGTGAAAAGAACTATTGTCATCCTGTGACAGGGGCCTCATTCTTTCTCTTCTGAGCACCCTGCCACAGCGGGAATTGTCGCCTGTAGACTGAGTCTGAGAGACACTAAGACGTGACACTTTTGGGCCAAAATGCTTTCTTCTGTTGAAAACCCTACCAACAGCACATGGTGAAATCTATCCAGACGACCTCCTCCTGAGAGACCAGATGTGACGAAGAAGCACTAACACGGCCATCTTTGGGCAACTGGGATCCATGAGTACCACACTTGCAGCAGCAGGTTCTGAGGCAGAGGGAAGGGATACCCTGGGATAGAGGTCAGGAAGTTTCTGGAACAGAGTTCCATGGTAGAGGAGCGTGAAGAGTCAGGAGTGTGGGGAAAGGTGGCAGCCACAGAGAGAAACCTGAGAGCAGGCAAAAACGAACTTCCTCTCCCCTATGCTTCCCCCTAGGCTTGGGCCATGGTCTGGCTTACGCTGAGGATGCTCACCTAGATATGCAGCTTACCTTTACGTTGGTTTGATTTTTCTTCCCAGGCAGTGTGTAAACACACTTAAAAATGTAATGCCCATGCTTCTCATGGTGGCCTTTGTACGTCATCTACAAAACCAGAACATTACGTTTAGGTGAGTTTATCTCTTACCGAGAAGCTTTCTGGTTCTAGTTTTCATTGAGCCATTTATTTTTTAACTTGGGGAAAATAGCATTCTGCCTCTGACAATCGGTAGTACTTCTTATAACCACAGGAGGGTGCACGTCAGCCAGCTCCTGAAGATAGTAATTTGTTCCTCCAAGTTTTCTACTGGGTGTCTCTAAATCTGGTTTCTCTGAGCCTGACTGTCAACTGCATTCCTTCTCAGGGTGCATCAATTTTATTACTAAGTTTCAGTGGAAATGAAGCATGTGGAAATATTCTCAGATGGGAGAGGGTGGGGTTTTAGGAGAAAAGGCAGGTTTTTTACAACACTCATGTCTGATATCCAATTGATAAACCTCATAGTATGAACATGTAGGCTCTTAAATTTGTAGTTTTGGCCATTGTAATTGTCAGCTGAGATAAAGAACAGAAGATTGTTAGTTCTTAGAACGGAGTTTTCTAATACTGACGGGGAAAATCGTGATGTGTAAAAGTAGTCTGCATTTTGAAAAGCATCTAGTGTTTGTTTAATTTTCTGGATGTATATAGAAACTAACTTCATGTGAACGGAATTCCCCATTGAGACCTGTTAACTGGGGCCAGTGTTGTGGCGCAGCTGGTTAAGCTGCTGCCTGCAAAGCCAGCATCCCATATGAACATCAGGTCATGTCTCAGCTACTCCACTTCCAATCCAGCTCTGTAGTAATGTGCCTGGGAAAGCATCTAAAGGTGGCCTAGGTGCTAGGAACCACCTGTGAGACCTGGATGGAGTTCTAGGCACCTGAGGTTAGCTTGACCAACCTGGCCATTTTGGTCTCACCCTCTCTCTCTCTCTCACTCTACATTTCAAACAAACAAATAAATAAATATTTTGTAAACAGACCTGTTAACCACCTTTACTTTTCCTCCATTATGTATAGTTAGCTTTCACGTGCATGGGTGGAGAAATGGTGTTTGCTAGTCTCCCGTAATTCTTATCAATTATCCCTTAAATGTTGCCTGGCAAACTATTGTTTCATTTGAAGGAAGAAATCACACTGAAGAGGAAGAAATCTCCGTATAGAATGCTTTCCTCTTTCCTGTCACATATTGTGTGCATTATAATACCTGATTAACCAGAAAGTGTCAAAATCATGTTGTGTAATTTTGCATTTCCATTCTAAGAACCCAGGAATATTTTGACAGTCAACATCTTCTCTTAGGGACTTTTTCCTTGACAGACCCCAAATAGATTATTTGAGAAGAATCCTGTTTACCCTCTGCTCTTCCACACAGCCTCGCTGAGTTTCCTTCGTCTGAGGTCGAAATGTCTGAAAGGAAACAAGAAATACAACTTCACCAAATGGAGCATTCATTCTTTCATTCATTTCTTCAAACAACAGCTGTTTCATTTGTTTTTCCCTCACTGGGTTGTATTGTTCAATGTGGAAGGTCATTCTGACCAAAAAAGATAGGCACATACATCTTTTTTTGTTTTTAAAGATTTATTTATTTATTTTCAAGTCAAAGTTACACACACACAGAAAAAGAGTGAGAGAGAGAGAGAGAGAGAGAGAGAGGGAGAGAGAGAGAGATAGGTCTTCCATCCTATGGCTCACTCCCCAATTGGCCGCAATGGCCGGAGCTGCACTGATCTGAAGCCAGGAGTCAGGAGCTTCTTCTGGGTCTCCCATGTGGGTGCAGAGGCCAAAGCACTTGGGCCATCCTCCACTGCTTTCACAGGCCATAGCAGAGAGCTAGATTGGAAGCAGAGTAGCCGGGTCTTGAACTGGCATCCATATGGGATTCCAGTGCTTCAGGCCAGGGTGTTAATCTGCTGCACCACAGCAGTGGCCCAGGCACATACATCTTTACTACTGATTTTGGTATGACAAAAGTGAGCACCAGCTCTCTTCCCCTACTGGGAGCAGTGCCATCTCCATCACAGAAACCAATTCCAGCACAGCAAACTGCCCTGTGGGTGGAGAGGGGAGAAGGGCAGGATGGCATCCCAGGTAGAAGAGATTGGAGCATGGGTTTTCACTGAAAAAGAAGTTGTTGAGTTTGCATGAATTCAAACTGGAGTTCAGGGAAGTGGACTACATGTGTGCATTGACTGGGTAAAGTCCAGCAATTGTTAGATTGAATTAATGTGCTCCTGATGGCCCAGCAGGAGTGAAACCAGAGCCCTGTATATAAATAGTAGGGTCACACCCAAGCATGGAACCTGATTGTTGCCATCAACTGGGACAACATTAATTCAGAGAAGGAAAAATGGAGGTAGCTAGCAGATTCAATTAATATTCATCAGTATGTAATTAGCCTAGAAAGACTAAGTCACAATAAGTACTGAATTATACTAAAGTTCTCTATAGTGTCAAGTATATATTTAATACATACATAAGTGTATGTGTGTGTTCTTAAAGAAAAAACCTAATGTCCCTTATGGTCATTTTCTGCTCAGTAACTGCCCATCTCATTTTGGTTTTTCATTTTTTTTTTAACTTTAATTTAATGAATATAAATTTCCAAAGTACAGAATATGGATTACAATGACTCCCCCCCCCATAACGTCCCTCCCACCCACAACCCTCCCCTTATCCACTCCCTCTCCCCTTCCATTCACTTGTTCTCCTTGATAGGTGACAACTAACTGAGCACCAAAAAGGAAACCTGTTAAAGGGAAAATGAATACTATGAGATAATGTTGACTTGAACAGCCCTCAACCTGACTGTTGATGAGCAGCTTAATATGTTATCCCTCTTAGTAATTTTTTTGTATGTGCCACTTATACTTTTGGTTGAATACTGTAATCAATACACAATTCTTCTTAAGTGCTGAAACTTAACTGAAAAGTGATCTCTGTTAAATATAAGCGTGGAATAAGAGAGGGAAGAGATGTGCAATTCGGGACATGCTCAACCTGACTTGCCTCAAACGGTCGAGTTAGAAACATACCAGGGGATTCCAATTCAATACCATCGAGGTGGCATGTACCAATGCCATCTCACTAGTCCCAGAGATCAATTTCTGTTCACAATTGATCATAATGATAGGACTAAGAACCAAAGGGATCACATAAACAAGAATAGTGTCTGCAAATACTAGCTGATAGAATCAAAAAGGGAGAGAACCATCCAACATGGGAAGTGAGATACACAGCAGACCCATAGAATGGCAAATTTCCTAACGGCACTCTGGCCTCATAATCAGCCCTTAAGGCATGCGGATCCGGCTGAAATGCCCATGAGAGTATTTCAGGCATGGAAAGCCAAGACACTCTGGGGGAAAAAAAAAACTAAATGAAAGATCTCCGTGAGTGAGATCCCAGTGGAAAGAACGGGTCATCAAAGAAGGAGGTACCTTTCTCTGAAGGGAGGAGAGAACTTCCACTTTGACCATGGCCTTGTCTAAATATGATCAGAGTCAGTGAACTCAGGGGGCTTCCATAGCCTTGGCAGCTCATGACAAGAGCCTAGGGTGATTACTGATGCCATAAACAAGAGTGTCAATTTGTTAAGTCAACAACAGAAGTCACTGTGCACTTACTCCTCATGTAGGATCTTTGTCCTTAGTGTGCTGTACATTGAGATTTAATGCTATAACTAGTACTCAAACAGTATTTTTCACTTTATGTTTCTGTGTGGGAGCAAACTGTTGAAATCTTTACTTAATGTATGCTAAACTGATCTTCTGTATATAAAGAGAATCGAAAATGAATCTTGATGTGAATGGAAGGGGAGAGGGAGTGGGAAAGGGGAGGGTTGCGGGTGGGAGGGACGTTATGGGGGGGGGGAGTCATTGTAATCCATAAGCTGTACTTTGGAAATTTATATTCATTAAATAAAAGTTTAAAAAAAATGAAAAACCAAAATGAGATGGGCAGTTACTGAGCAGAAAATGACCATAAGGGACATTAGGTTTTTTCTTTAAGAACACACACACACACACTTATGTATGTATTAAATATATACTTGACACTATAGAGAACCTTTGTATAATTCAGTACTTATTGTGACCTAGTCTTTCTAGGCTAATTACATACTGATGAATATTAATTGAATTGCAGGTCCAATAATCATCTTCTATTTTCTTCCATTTTAAACTTGTTTGGTATTTGGAGTACAATTCCAAGCCATGTGTAAGCAACTTGGTATATACTCATGTCTTATACCACTGATCTATTATTAAACAATTGAGGTAATTGCTAAAGTGATATCTATATATAAGAGGGAAAAACCACATTTGACCACTTGCAGTTCTGAATTTCATCTCTCTGTTCTTGCTGACTCTTTGGTTTGAAATCTGCACCCCTCTTTCTTCCCCCATACCCACTTGGCAGTTGTCCCATGCTTGAACGTGGCCTTGTGACGAAGATGACATTGTCTCCCTCTGGGAAGGAAAGCTGGCACCCTGTTTTGACCAGTGGTTAGTGGATCAATGTTGACATAGCACTTTACTGGAAAATGGTCAGAAAATACTACTCCAGCTGTTCCTTGGAATGTGCTGCTCAAAATAAATGCATCCTCAGCTGGTTAGATTGGGCTGGGTCAGCAAGACCAGGCTTCCACCATCATCCCTGAGTGCACGCCTCTATGGCCCTCACTGAACCACATCATGTGGATTGGACCCAAGAGAAGCCTGTGCTAAGCAGCTGGCCACCCTCAGGACTGTGTACGGATGTGTGCTTCTACAGTCCTCACGGGATGGTGTGGTTTGTCCCTGTCAGTCTGGTACCAACTGGTCACCCTGTCAGACAGGACTTATATTTAAACATGACAAACAATGGGAAGATTGCTTGTTTCCAAGGTTCTCCAACCAAAAAGGTTACTCTGAGAAGTTGGGATGCTGTTCAGACATTATCTAATTTGCACTGTGTCTGCATTGCAGAAAATGTCTGTAACAGCATTGTCACAAGACAATTTGGTCACATCCTGAATACGCAACTGTGTGAGTCAGGAGAAAAGTCATAAAAGGAGTAAAGAACTTGACCTGGGGTTGAGCTTAGGGGCCCTACTTCCTATCTTTTTCTTCACTGATGAGGAAAACATCATTAACATGATCCTGCAGTTTTGGGGTGTTGCAAGAAACATAAAAATATTCTCCTCTCTTTACATCATCATTCATAAAATTTAGTTAGTAACTTTAATATGTTCATGCCAAATTCTTTGTTTCTAGTGAAATATTGAAAGATTCTTTTGATGTGTCATTAAACTTATAAGAACAGATACTACACTTGATCTTAGCCAAAAGGCCAAGAAGTGATTGATGTGTCATTAAATTGAGAATTTGAGGATCATTCATTAGTCTCAGATGATTTGCAATGCTGTGACTGGCTATTAGTTTTCTCACAAATATCGTTCCCGGTGTTCCTTAGAAGGTAAGATATCTTGTAACTCAGGGTGTTTGCTGAGGGCCTGCTCGCGTGGTAGTAGGTGTTTGGATGCATTCTATTAGCTTGGTATTTTATTGTAACAGAATTAGGTAAATGCTACTAATTTAAATAAGCATTGCTTTAAAAGAAAAATACAGAGAGCAAGAATCATATGAAACAAAATCAAGTTTAGGTGCTTACCATGCTCACTGGTGCTGCCCAGGACACACCTAAGAGGAGCAGTCCTATGTAGATAACCGGCATTTTTGAGAATCTCTGTGAAAAGACAAGAATGCTTTACCCCAAAGTATTTTCAATGAAGAATTGCAGCAAAAATACTCAGGTAAATACATAAACATCCTTACAGTAGCAGCCCGTGGTCTTTTGTTTTGTACATATATAAATACATACTCTTATGTATTTATGACTAATTTATATGTGAAAAACTAGCATATATGTTTATGTGACTATGTATAATTTATTAAAACACAAGTGTACATATTATAATCTAAGAATGTTGTCTATCTGGTTATTCTAAAGTCAAAATAAAAATTGTTGAAAGTCATTAAAATAATAGATTCACTTATAGAAATGAATTTTATAAGTATATATTTATTTGCTTGATTGTCAATCCAAACTCATTAGAGATTATTTAATTTAATTACCTGTGTAATGCTGAGCGGCATTCAATTAATGTAGCAACTTTCACCAGTCCTGTTAAGTCTGTCAGGGGTCAGAGACTCCTTTTTAATTCACAGATATTAAAGAGAAGGACTGGGATAAGTAGTCAAGCAATATTACTGCACAGTGTTCACGATAAGGACTCTATGCTGTCTTAAATAGTTCTCTATTTTATTTTATTACAGAAAGTTTACATGTGTTTGACTTAAAAACAAATTATGGGGTCGGTGCTGTGGCATGGTGGGTAAGATTGCTGCCTGCAGTATCAGCTTCCCATATGGGCACTAGTTCAAGTCCCAGCTGCTCCACCTCTGATCTAACACTGCTATAGCCTGGGAAAGCAGGAGAAGATGGCCCAAGTCCTTGGCACCCTGCACCTGTGTGGGAAACCTAGAGGGAGTTCCTGGCTCCTGGTTTTGGATCAGCCCAGCTCAGGCCATTGTGGCCATCTGGGGTGTGAACCAGAGGATGGAAGACTCTCTCTCTCTCTCTCTCTCTCTCTCTCTCTCTCTCTCCACCCCCTCTCCCCCTCTGCCTCTCTGTAACTCTGCCTTTCAAATAAATAAACAAATATTTAAAAGAAAAAAAGTAAATCATATAAATCATATGTTTTATTGGCTTCCACAAAATGTTGCTTAAAACATCACAGTTAGCAGATAATGGTACATATTTATATTTTAGTAAATGTATTAAAAGGATCTAGTGAGCTCAATTAAGTCACATAGTCATTAGTTAACAAAAAAATTCAATGCAGCTTTGGACCACCAGTTTTTCTACTTTAATGAACATTAAATATTTTACAAACTGTCACACAGACATAGAGTGATCCTTATAGCCTACCAGTATTTGAGATTACTTGGAAGAAAAACCACTTTTCAGGGAAGAAATAATGTATTCTTCTAATCTAATTGATTCAAAGTAAAAAATTTTATTGGAAGACATATATATATATACACACACACACACACATATATATATAACTTTTAAAAATATCCCCAAATAATAAGCTATTCTGGATCTCAGCCTTTCCAAATAAATACCTTTTAGGTCAGGACAACATAAGTCACTTCTCCAATAACTTAGGGCAGATCAGTAGAAATATAAGCACAGATGAGATCTGAGAATAGGGATAAGATCAGATTCTTCTGATTCCAGTTTGTAAAGGAATACAACCTGGTTTGTGAAGGGATAGAAGAAAACTAGCATCTCTGTGTTACCTGTGGATCTCAATCACACTGCTGATTGAAGCCAAGGCAAGGTTGCTACCAAACTATCCATTATAGTCAATGGTTTCTAGAGTTTGGTAATACACATTCTATTTCATAAAAACAAAGCACCAATTATTACACAGTTGTTTTCAGTAGAGAATATTTTCAATTTCATTAGCTTTCAAAATCAATAACCCTTCTTAGGTGGTATCTTGAAAATGTAAACAACTCCAGGATAAAGCTATTTGCTATCAAGAACATAAAGAGAGTCAAATTACCTGGAATCTTCTACCTTCAGAATATCTGCCTTCCTCTGCAGCATTAGCAGGCTTGGGGGCATTTTGCTGAAATTTAAAGTTTGTTAAAGTTCCCAGGGGCCAATCAGCACTGGCTCACTTAGCATTGGCAAACAATTTGTTACAGGTGCCCACAGATAACCATAGGGGGCAAAGTAATTTTAATCTAAAAATGTTTTGTGGTGAAAAGCTGCTATCAAATGTTCCAGAAAGTGGGATAAACAGAAAATATAAATACCTCGGTTTGGGCATCATGTTGTCAGGTAATGAGAACTGATTTCATAACTATTAATTAGAATCAACTGAATGCCCGCCAAGTTTATAAGTGGGAAATAGGCTTGCTCTCCTTTTATGCAGAAGCTATATAATCTCAGTTTTGCCTGAATGAAATTCAGCAACATTGAGCAAAAATGTTTTGAGCACCTACTCTGTGACAGGCATGGGGCAAACAGCAGTGACCAGAATAAGCAGAAAAGAATCTTTGTACTTATGGAATATAGAATTCAGTGTGAAGTGGATAGACAGACAATAAACAACACAATCAAAAAGCAAAATACATTATATTCATAATGGATGTTGACATAGACTAAGGAGAAAAAGCACTTTGGGTGCAGGGGGAGGAATAAGAATCACTGAGGGTGGGGAATTTTTAGTAGGGAGTTCTGGGAAGGCTTCATGAGAAGGTGACTGCGTAAGGACCTTGCTATGATCTGAACATATGAAGACATTTCAAAAGTTCATAGAAAAAATAGAATTGAAAGATAAGTATATAGTTGAATAAAAGATTCAGAAATCCATGCACTGTTTTTTCCATAACACATATTTGCTATGAGCTTTAGGAAGACCCCTCGTTTGTGTTTCTCCCAACTTCCTGTGCTGCAATTTTAAGTCCCATTGTGACAGTATCAAGAGGAGAGGCCTTTAGGTGGAGGGTAAGTCATGAGGACACAGCCCTCAGGAATGGGATCAGTGACCATCTAAGAGGCTGGAGGGGCTAGCCAGGCCCTCTTTGCTGTTCTGCTTTTCTGTCATGTAAAGACACAGCATCTGTCTCCGCCAGTGGATGCAGTAACAAGGTGCCATCTTGGAGGCAGGATAGCCCCCGTCAACAGACACTGAAGCTGTTGGTGTCTTGATCTTGAGCTTCCGGCCTCCAGAGCTGTGAACAACGTGTCTCTGTGCTATTTTGTTATGGCAGCATAAATGCACTAAGATACCCCACCTATGGCAGAAGGAACATGAGGAGCAGAGGGCCAGACACGGGAGCCTGCTGGCCTGTCCGAGAAACAGAAAAGAGGCCAGGCCTGTCCCTGCTGGCCTGTCCCAGAAACAGAATTTGGTGGTAGGGACTGAGCAAGGGGAAGAGCAGTAAATGAAGTAAGAAAATGTATTACATAGATGATGATATGGGGCCTGTAGGTTGTGGCAAGGCTTTTGATTTGACCCTGAGCCGAAAGGGAAGTGCTTGGAGGTTTTGAGCAGAGGAATGACTGAAGGAGAAACTGAAGTAAGAAAAGGAACAGACTGGCTCTTGTGATAATCGGAGCAAGTGGTGACTGGGGTTTGACCAGAGTGGTGGCAGAAGGGAAGGTGGAAAGCCATCCTGTTCTGATTATATTTAGAGAGGAAAGCCAATGGGATTGCTGGTGGAGCTGGTATGGGCTATAAGAGAAACTCAAAATTAGGATGACACCAAAGCTTTTGCCCTGACCAAGTGTAAGAATGAAGTTGTTTTTATTGATACAGGGAAAATTCTTAAGAAGATGGTTTTAAGGGAAACTTTGAGAGTTTGGATTTGAATTTGCATTTTATAAACTGGTTCATTTCGGACACTGAATTTCTTAGTGAAACTAGGGCACAGCTGTATTACAGTAAACCTTTCCAGGACAATCATCTTCCCACATGCTTTGCTCAAACTGCCTGCCAAAATCATGATTATAACAATTTGGAAGACTCCACTCAGTCTAAAATATTATAATATTTAATGGAATTATTTATATTAAATCTATATGTGAAAGTGTTACTAAGAGGTTATGTAAGAATTATTTAACCTAAACTTTGTGACAAGAACAACTTACAGTTAAAGACAAATTTTACAGACTAGAAATGATATGTAATGAGACTGAAGTGTAAACTCTCAATTTCTCCCACCTCCCCGAATAGACAAAAACCAAAATAAACAAACAAAACAGCCTTGGACAGTTTTGGAGAGAGAATGGTGCCTTTTCTAGTTCAGGGCAAATCCCATTTTGCTTTCTCCAAGTCTTGCAAATCCTCCTTTAAGTGTCCTGGGCTGGTTTTTTAAAAACCACTTAGAATTTGAGCTATTGGGGGTGGAGCTCTTATTGATTCACAACCACTTAACCCTGGATTTTAGAATATTTAAACATTGTCACTGATAACAGAGACATTTGACTTTGGTAGCTTGAGCCTCAAACAGGCCTGTGTTCAAATCCAACCTCTAATCTTGGCTTGTTGTGACAAGTTGCTTAAATAACCAAATCATATCCCTCGTCTCTCTATTTCTCCATCTGAAAATGTGGAGCCTACTAATAAGCTGAACTATCAGTGAGAAAGTGCTGTGTTCCAAGCGTTGTTTAATTGTTTATATTAACTCATTTATTATCACAATAACTCTGGGATGCAGATACTATTATCATACTTTTGATTTTATTGACATAACATTAAGCATTTAAGTGACTTGCTTAAAGTCACATATCAGCAAATAAGCAGAAAAGTCAGAGATTACAATTAGATAATCTTACTCCAAACTGAGGTTTTGAAACCATTGCACAACTGTTCAATAAGATTAGCATGAACATTGGATTAACAAACCCCAGAAAGTGCTTAGCCCAGGGCCCAATTAGTTGCTAAAGTAGCTACTCATCTCATCGATTCTTCCCATTAATAATAATAATAATAATAGGACATCTGGTGCAACAGTTAAGATGCTGCTTGGAGCACCCACATCCCATGTTGGAGTGCCTGGGTTTAGATCCAACACTGCTTCCTGCTTCCAGCTTCCTGCTAGTGTGCACCCTGGGAGGCAGCAGGTGATGGCTAAAGTACTTGGGTCCCTCTCATCCATGTGGGAAACCTGAATTGAGTTACAGGCTGTTGGTTTTGGCTTGGCCCATCCCTGGATGTTGTGAGCATTCAGGGAGTGAAACAATGGTTAGGACATCTCTTAGCACACACACACACATCTCTCTCTCCCTTTCAAATATATAAAATAAATACTTTAAAAAATACAAATCTGGTATCTCCTTTCTGTCCTTTGTTGTTTTTCCTGACAGTTGTCAGTCATGACCTATTCCATGCAGAGGCAAATGCAATGAAACATAGAGTTTAAGATTTCTCTAGATTGTAAATATTCATGATTTGGGTGATATGGAAAGAGGCTAAAGAGGAAGTGGAAGTGAAAGAAAGTAAGGCAATAAATATGAGCATTCGGTCAACTCTGGGACTGGACAGAGACACAGTGAAGTGCCAGTGACCTCCACTTTGTCCCTGGGTGTCCTCTAACCAGCGCACAACTGCTATCTGCTCAAAAACTAATCTTGTAAGGATGTTATCTGTAAGGTTTGTTTACATTAAGTGCTGGGAAACCTTGCTTGCTCTTGCTTCTGCAACAAATGCTTGGCTTTATAATTAACTTCCAGCAAGATGTGGTTTTGCCTTTATGAGCTTAGCCCTGAGCTCA